TAAATACAGTTACATGGTCATTCCAGGTGCACTGCACACATCTGGAACACTCAGTGCCCATCCTGGCTCCTTTCCCAGTGTTTGGTGTTGTGCTTAGCCCAGCCAGGGTTCTGAAATAAAGTTTCAAATACCTAAAGTCCCATCCTATACTTATCCAAAATAATGAGCTTTTCTTTCAAGAGCTATTAAAAGTAATACATTATTTTCAACCTCTGATTGTCAGTGAAGGGATCTCAAGAAACAAAGTATTTCAGTGACTTGGGAACTTGGAAAACACCCTACAAGAAAGGTCTTTTGAAGTCTGAAAGGTGGATACTATTGCACAAAATTCAGCAGCAAACTGGTGACAGCGAAATGTTGGTAGCACCACCACGCTGCTTCCACTTTTCTTCTTCCCTAGACCAAGGATCACCAGGTGATTTTCAGGCTTGCTCTACCCAACTCGTACTTCTGTCACTCAGAGCAATCTAATTCAACTGCAATGCTTCTGCAGATCAGATAAAACCATTTTATATATTCAGACAAGCCAAGGCATTTAATAAAAAAATATAAGAAGGCCTCTGTGTCCTCTGCTTTATTCCCCAAAGTTCTGAGCAGAAAGCGACACTGCCTGCAAGATAGTTCTGTATACTCACATGCCACGACACCCCACACTGCAACAGCGAAATTTAGCTCCACTAAAAGCAGCTTCTCCTCCTGTATTTAACATTCCTCCAAAATACATCTTCAGCCTCAAATGACAGTGCTGTTCCCGTTACCAACGCTGCTCTTCTCCCCCCATCACATGCAAGAAAGCCAGCTACAAAATTCCCGTTTCAAAACGCACCGCTTTGTCAAAAGGGCCTTTTGTTGCCATGATCAGCACACTGGCAAAAGGGAAAATACAAGAAAGAGAACCTACAGAGGTAAAAAGAAAACTAGTCTAAAAACAGAAAGTGTGCAATCCCTTGAAATAGTACAAAGAGGGGTATATACACCTAAACACAGGAGCCTGGGAAAAACACAGCCTGACATTCCTACACCTTTGGATTGGGGTTTTCACGAGAATTAAGCACGGTTAATTCTGTTCCACCCAGGGGCTGGTGAGCTAAGCAACCCTCTGCCTCTGAAAGTGCTGCTCAGCCTGCCATCCCCTTCAACACAAGAATAATCCGACAGACTCTTTCTTAAAAAAATCACCTCCAAAGCAGCATTTTTTTTTTTTTTTTTTTGAAGCAACTGCTAGAAACTGGAGGAGGAGAGGAGAAAAGCAGCACATGCAAATTCGAGTATTTCTATCAGTTAGTTGTGAAAGAGGAGTTGTAACCTTCCTCCCCACACCCTGTCTTTGTCTCTGCTATCTTGTTAAGCAGGAGCCGGTCTCATTTCCCTGTTTCTGTAGGTAGTTGTTTGAAAGAAAGGAGGGAGGAAACACGCCAACACCAAAAAAAAAAAACCCGAAACAAAGAAAAATCACAAGTACCGCAGAGACCCCAGGGCAGGGAGAGCTTCCCGAGCAATTTTTCAATGAAACTTTATTCCAGCTCATGGAATCCGTCCAATTACAAACCATGGCCAAGCCCGGAGAGCCGCACCACCGCTAACCGGAATTAGAACGGCCAGCCCAATTCATCTACGATTTAAAAAAAATTAAAAAAAAAAATAAAATAATAATTTACAAGCACGAACGGTGCCACACCCTAAGCGAGGAACTAGAAGAGAATCCCCCAGGAAGAAGGGGAGGGAATAAAAAGTCCAAGCCCCGTTTTGTAGGGTTACAAACACCCCCTTTTCACTGCTACCATAAAAGGTCCTCGGCAGCGCAGATAAAGCCGGCACAGCTCCATCGGCATCAGTTTTCCCCCCATAAGTCCGCCTTAACACTTTGCTCTATTTATTTGCCATCTCACCGTGCCCATTGGTAATACAGTATTGACCTATTTTCCAGGTGCTTAATTAAGCTCTCTGCCGGCTGCCGCGCTCGTTGTGTGTGATTTTAAATTTAGTTTGTAGAAAAGTCCAGCGATGGAATTATTATGGCAGAAAGGAAGTCCCCATCCGAGCTTTCTCACTTGGTGTGACATCAGAGCCTAAACTTTTTGCGAACGATGTCATGGGAGGTAATAGGGGGTAGAAAATAAATAATCAAAGAAACGTGCATTGTTATCAACAAGTGCAGCTTTACCTAATGGAATCGTCTCTCAGAGTAACATATTTTCCCCCAATTTAAAGCCACTGAGATAACTGAAATAAACAAGGCGATACACAAGCAGGAAAAAAGCAAAATACACAAGCAGGAAAACGCAAAACCATCACAGCGCCACATAATTTCTAGCAAGTCAAGCCCTGCAGTCCGAAAAAACTAAGTTAACAAAAAAGGAAACAATCGCAGTTCCTGGCATTTTAAGTCAGATGCAACAGTTAGTAAAGAAGTAGAGCCCCGAAAGAACGCTCTTTATTATATATGTGTAAGCACCTAGCACTGACGATTGAGGGCTAGATTTAAATAAAAATAATTTTTATAACCCCATCACTATTTGCTACCGCGTTAAACACATGTGAACGCACCTGCCAGCTTTACAACCGATACCACGACGAATCCAGAACAAACCCCGCACGATCCCTGCCGCAACCATTACGGGAAATCCTCCGGCAAACAAACCCCTCTGCTTTCACACAGCTCGCTCCTGGGAACTGACCAAATTTTAAAGCGTCCGCTTCCTTTCCAGTTGCTGTTAGTGATACCGGCCCTGGGCACCATTTGCCGCCCCAGCTTCCCCCCCCAGCGCGGGTCTCTCCTCGGGGCTGCGGGGGTCGCGTCCCGCCGGGACTGCCAGGAGCCACCG